TAACTTGAGGGACTGTTTGATTTAGTTTAAGTTCAATATATGTAAATTAACCCACTATGTTTAAAAGTTCAGAGACTACAGACTTAGCGGAATGTCCAGGGGCAAATTGGTCGTTAAGATAGAGTCGGTGTCGGTAGCAGTTCTTGCTTAGCGGAAATACTTAACTTGATATTTTATGTTGTGATCTTACATAAAATTTTAAAAACCTTTTTTGGTTTGGACATTTCTATGTGATTAGCTTTTTAAATGGTCTTTATTTTAATTACATAAAATAGAAATTATTGCATAGATAGTAAATCCACAATTTATGAAATAAAATTATAACCTTGTTATAGATGCCAACTACATTACGAAATGGTAGTACTATAATGCTCAAGAATATTGCAGTTGCTTCAGTACCTTGTAAGTGATAATTAAATTGAAAATTTAAGATACATAATAAGGTTTAAAAGAAAAATACAATTATAACTGAATAATTATTTTTTTTTTGGCTCAAAGTTCTAAAGGTACTACACTTAAAACAATGAAAAGTTACGAAAGTCAACAAGTTAAATCCAAATTTTTAATATACTACATATGTTATGTCGAGGAAGAGGCAAACCCGAAAATAAAGAAGATAAAGAACACCAAATTTTAACGTGGAAAACCCTTCAAATCGAAGGTAAAACCCACGGGATCACAAAGATCCAAAAAGCTCCACTATAACAATAAGAGGGTTACAAAACTTCTCCAAATTGGCTACACAACAAGGGCCAAACACGGAGCAACAATAGCAACAAGAGCAACAACTAATCAATTGAAGAAAGAGTATAATCCACAAAACGAAGCTGCTGTTCGAGACTCGAAATCAGATGCTACGAGCCTCCAAATCCGATCTACACCGTTCAAATCCAGGACCAAGATTTATGAACACTCAGTCAAAATTTTAGCCCGATCCTACGGTTAACGAATCGGAAAACATGATTTGAAGTTGGCTGGTCGAATTAAAATCTGCAGCAAAACAAATACTTTTTTTCTCTCTCTCTTCTCTCTTGATGAAAGCTCTCTCAAAACCCACTCTTATGTGCTTAAGTCTTTCAAAGACTTGTATCAATGAGCATAGAATAATTCTCCAAGGTTGTCCTATTTATAGATCATGAGTGGTGCTTTCTCTTAAAGCCAAAACCCACTCAAAATAGGAATAAACCGAATCCAATTCCAAATAGGATTGGAAACCAAAAGAGAATAGGATTAGACCATTGGGCCTTTGGCTGGACAACATGGGCATGTGCCCAACAAACTCCCCCTCCAGCCAAGGGGCCAAATGTGTCTTCAAGTAGAGGAACTATTGACAGGCTTCATGCCTGTCAATTTTCTACAAAATTCATGTTTATCTGCAACCACCGCCTTTGTCAGCATATCCGAAGGATTTTCATCAGTGTGTATCTTTCAACCTCAAATAATTTCTCTTCTACGGTCATTCTTATCCAATGATACTTTCTATTTATATGTTTGATCTTAGAATGAAAAGTGGAGTGCTTGGTGAGACAGATAGCACTCTGATTATCACAAAATAAGATGTACCGTGGCTGCTCAAAGCCAAGATCATTAATAAACTCCTTCATCCATAATAGTTCTTTGGCACCTTCTGTGACAGCAATATATTCGGCTTCTGTGGTGGATAGAGCTATGCACTTTTATAGTCTAGATTGCCAAGAAGCAGCTCCCCCTGCAAAAGTGATCAAATAACCGGAAGTGGATCTTGAATTATCAAGATTGCCTCCTAAATCAGAATCTGTGTAACAAACAAGTTCAGGCTTGCCATTGCCAAAGCACAGCTTCAAATCTGCAGTACCTTTTAAATTCCTTAATATCCATTTTACTGCATCCCAATGTTCTTTTCCAGGATTGGAAATGAATCTGCTAACAGTGCCAACGGCATGTGCAATATCTGGTCTAGTGCAAACCATAGCATACATCAAGCTACCAACGGCAGAAGAGTAAGGAATACGAGACATCTCCTTTTTCTCTTCATCAGTAGATGGACTCTGACTAATACTCAATTTGAAGTGTTTAGCAAGAGGATTACTTACCACTTTTGCATCTGTCATATTGAACCTCTTGAGTATCTTCTCAATGTATTGCTTTTGGGACAGAAATAACTCATTTCTATCTCTGTGTCGGTGGATTTGAATGCCCAAGATTTTCTTTGCTGGCCCCAAGTCCTTCATCGCAAACGATTTGCTCAACTTCTTCTTAAGGACTGCAATTCTGGATTTATTCTTTCCAACAATAAGCATTTCATCCACATAAAGCAATAAAATAATAAAATCATCATCAGAGAACTTCTGGAAGAATACACAGTGGTCTGAAGAAGTTTTCTTGTACCCTTGTTCTTCAATGACAGATTCAAACTTCAAATACCATTGCCTTGGAGCTTGTTTCAATCCATACAAGCTCTTTTTCAATTTGCAGACATAATTTTCTTTTCCCTTAGTTGCAAAACCCTCAGGTTGCTCCATATAAATCTCCTCATCTAAATCACCATGAAGAAAAGCGGTCTTGACATCCATCTGCTCAACCTCTAAATCTAGACTTGCGGCTAAGCCTAGAACCACATGAATAGAAGACATCTTCACAACAGGGGAGAAAATTTCATCAAAGTCAACTCCCTTCTTCTGGCCAAAACCTTTAACAACTAACCTCGCCTTGTATCTAGGCGCAGAGGTATGGTTATCTTGATTTATTCTGAATATCCATTTGTTAGATAAAGCTCTCTTACCTTTCGGCAATTTCACTAACTCATATGTGCCATTCTCATGGAGTGACTTCATCTCATCTTCCATCGCTTCGATCCAATGATCTTTGTGATTATCTTGCATGGCTTCATCATAATTCTCAGGTTTTCCCAAGTCAGTCAAAAGTACATACTCATCAGGAGGATAGCGCATGGATTTTTGCTTCTCCCTTGTAGATCTTCTAAGAGAGGTTTCAGGAGCATTCGTAGTAGTTACCTGTGCAGGAATTGGTTGCTGATCAACCACAACTTCATCAACTGGAGCATCCATAACATCTATACCATGATGATCATTTTGATCTTGATCACTATCTCCATCATTGTCTTGGGTTCCTTCATGTGCAATAGGCGCCTTAGCAATTGAAACTGGATCAATATCAACTAAGATCTCATTACTCTGAGAATCTATCTTCTCAGCTTTGTCAATATCTTCAATAGTTTGGTCTTTAAAGAATATTGCATCACGACTTCTAATAAGTTTATTATCAACTGGATCATAAAAACGATACCCAAACTCATCTTGACCATATCCGATTAAGATGCACTGCTTAGTTTTGAACATCCAGTTTCGATCCTCTCATCTTTAGGAATATGCACACAAGCTTTCACCCAAAACTCTATGTGATCATAAGAAACATCTTTGGCAAACCAAACTCTGTCTGGGACATCACCATCCAAAGCAACAGCAGGAGCAAATTGATAACATAGGCAACAGTGTTAAGTGCTTCCGCCCAAAATTAATTTGGAAGTTTAGCCTCTGAAAGTAAGCATCTAACTCTCTCAACTAGAGTTCTATTCATCCTCTCTGCCAAACCGTTCAATTAGGACGTCTTGGGCGGAGTTTTCTGATGATGAATTCCTTGTTCTTGCAATAGTTATCAAAGGGACAAATATTCACCACCATTGTCAGTGCGAATACATTTTAATTTCTTCCCCGTCTGTCTCTCAGCTAAGGCTTGAAATTCTCATATTTTGAACTTGGATAGAAGATTTTGAGTACTTTTGTCTAAAATTTTAAGCTAATTGGTGATATGTTGTTGCGCTCGCTTTTGTGCGTCTTCAACTTGCTCTTTTTCGGGTTTAATCTTAATTTTCATCTGTTTGACCTCTATCAAAGTGCAGTAAGAATGGATTTGAGTCTGTTATTATACAAACTGCATTTGGGTTTGCACTAGAAGTGTTTGAGAAATTGCCTGAAAGAAACTACCTAATTTTTCTTATATGCTGTTTCAATAAATGTTAGCTCACAACTTTAACTGATTTAAATGTGTGGTTTAAATTACCAAAACAGCTTTTGCTTTCATTTCTTCTTGATCAATTGACATAAATAAGAATATCTGAACTTCATAACGGCCATAAAAGTTGCAGACTGTAAGTTCTGTTCATCTTTATGGCCTCACTTGATTGCTCAGGTCATTTTTGAAACTTGACACAGGGCTATCAACTAAATGGTTTGTTGTGAAAATATGGATATTTAATGTGTTAGTAGTTGAAGTAATAATTATCCAATTTTTATCATTGTTCGTTTTTGCCCTACAGACTTGGAAGAACTAAGAAGGCCTCTGCACAAAATTTGGTTCCAACAGATTTATAGATTTTCTATTATTGGCATCCAAAGTTTATTTTTTTTATTTTTTGTACAAGCATCCAAAGTTCAATTCGCCTACAAACAGAAATTATTGGAGAGAGACTTCACCATATCTCTAAACTTCCCACCTTTCTTGGCTATGGCTTCAATGCTATTAGATAAAAGTATTTTGGTATTTCAATTAATTTTAAAATGTGCCAGTGAAGAAACAGAAGAGTAAAAAGGAAGTTTCATTTAGTGTCTTACACCAAAAATGATGGTCAACGTGTTATATTTCTTTGATCATGTGTACTTTTGATTCTTAATGCCAAGGGAAAATTCTGCCGCTGATATTTGTCTGTCTTTCAGAATGATGTTTGGTTTTAGACTATACGTCATTTTAGTTTGTTTTCATTTAATAAAAGAAAAAGTTTGATTAGTATATTCACCAAAAAGAATTGTGTGCTGCAGTTAGAAGATACCTAAGCTGTTAAATGATAGAAAGTCTGTTACCCTAGTTGATAAATGAAGTTTGCAGTTGTTTGAAAAAAAGGAAAGGCATATGCTACCACCATTTATTTACTGACTGTATACCTCAGGGCAGTGCTGAAGAAGGAGGCCACTCCAATACATTCAAAGTGGTTAACTACAGCTCTGTCAAATCACACAAGAGCTGATAACGAAGGTTCGCATAAGACCAAGAAAGGCACCATAACCAAGTGCATTACTGCTCACAGATGGGATAGTCACTGACAACCTAGCAAACAATAGTAGCAAACGAGATTTAGGGTGTGTTTTGGTATTGAAGGAAAATGTTTTCCATGGAAAATGTTTTCCTAGAAAATTTGGAAAATGAATGGTTTTATCACTTATTTTTCCTTGTTTGGTTGGTGAGTGTGGAAAATATTTTCCGGAAAATATTTTCCGGAAAATATTTTCTATTGTTTGGTTAGAGAGTAGAAAATATATTTTTTTAGGAAAATATTTTTTATGCAACTTCCTCACCCTCCCCTCCCCCTCCCCCTCCCTCACCCCTCCCCTCGGCCCACCCTTCCCCAAGTCTCTAAAAATTGACACAATCCAAAGCAATAATGTGTTGCTTTACTTTTTTACGTAAAAACGCAAACTTTCGAACCCCGTAATTTTATAATTTCTAAACCCGTAAACTTTCAACACATAAACCTCTAAACTCATAACTTTGGAACTTGTAAAATTTCGAACCTGTAAAACGACAGATGAAAAAATTAAAATTAAAAATATGTATTAAAAAAATTACTTTTTCCCTGGGGGGGGGGGGGGGGGGCAGGGGCAGGGTATGTGCAGAAAAATAGCAAAATAGAAATTTAGAAAATAAAAAAAAGTAAAAATTTTTTTGCGGGAGGGGGGGGGGTTTGGGGCAGGGGGTATGTGCAGAAAAAAAATAGAAAATTGAAATTAAAAAAAAAAGTAATTTTTTTTTTGCGCGGGGGGGGGTGGGGAAGGGGCAGGGGATATGTGCAGAAAAATAAAAAAAAATAGAAATTTGAAATTTTAAAAGAAAAGTAATTTTTTTTTGTGGGGGGGGGGGGGGGGTCAGGTGAGGGTGGGGTTTGCGTGGGGGACACCAGGGGTGGGTGGTGACGGAAAAAAAACTGAAATTTTAAAAAAAAAAAAATCCGTTTTTGGAGAGAGAGGTGGGGTGGGGTTTGGGTGGGTGGGTGTGGGGGTGTGGGGGTGGGTTGGGGGATAGGGTGGGGAAGGTTGAGAAGGAGTTTTGGAAAATGTTTTCCCTTCTCTTGATAAGGAAAACATTTTCCTCCAATTGAAGGAAAATGAATTGATAAGGAAAATGTTTTCCAAAATATTTAAGTCAACCAAACATGGGAAAATTGGAAAACATTTTCCTTCCTTCATATCAAACACACCCTTAGACTGGAACATAAGGTGTCGTTAATGGTATTTTACCTTTATAAAAAGAGTTAAATGGGAAATTAAATTGCCCAATACGCCATCCAATATCTACCTTCCCTCCTTTTTAGTGGCAATAAGGTTTGATAGAGCCCCTTGGACAGCTCCCGCAGTGAGTCCAACCATACAGAACTCTGCAGCCTTATAGAAAAAGGAATGAACTCTCTTCTGCAAGTCAAATTCTCTTAGTGGATAACTCTTTTCAAAGATATTGTTTGGAAGCTTCTGTAACGTGTTTTGCAAATCAAAGTGGAATGTGTTTCCATATGAGCGACAAGGAGCAAGCGACCAAACAACAATAGCATTGCAAGCCGTTACAGTAAGCACATTAAGAAGGGCAAGATCCCACTCATGCTTTATCCTAGATCACAATAAAAAAAACATGTTTGTTTAAAATCCTGCATGAGGACTTTTTAATGAGTTTTATTTCCTTGAACTGAACAAGTATACCTCTCCTTACGGTTTTTGATCTCCCACCAAACTGAGCAACCAATTGTACTGGCCTGCTCGAGAAGCAGCTTGTACAAAAATGCCGGATCTGCAATCATCCTGTGTTAAAGATTCATAGAAAATCAGGCATTGCACATGCCGTTGGCACTGTTAGCAGATTCATTTCCAATCCTGGAAAAGAACATTGGGATGCAGTAAAATGAATATTAAGGTATTTAAAAGGTACTTGTATAGGGTTAAATTTGGCTCATAACGCCCCCACGCCAAATGGGCACGTCCCTTATAATAAGGGCGACCCGAGTGAGGGCACGGCCCAAGTTGGTGAAGAAGAAGTGACGTCGTTTAGTGTCTGACCTTTTTACTGAGTAGAAGCCACCAACTTTTGTACCTTTTTGATTATTTCGAGGGAGGTCTCCTACTATATAAAGGAGACCTCCACATTGTAATAGGATGATGGTTATTCTCGGATAATACAATTTCTCTCTCTATCTCTCTCTCTTATCTCTTTCTTGATTTTCCAACCATTGCTTCCCTCTTAAGCTAAGTCTATTTCACTACGCACTTACAGATCTACAAACATTCTTGAAGCAATAATCATCTCTTGGGCTTATTATATTTGATTACGATTTACCCCTATATATTTTCGATTGTTTTTAAGCTTATAAAATACGAATATAATTTTTGAGCTAAACAATTTGGCGCCGTCTATGGGGATTTCGAGAATCAAAACCATAGTATCCACCTAGAGATCAACCAACTACCACTCTCTACACCACACAAAAACAGAAAATGGCCGAAAATAACACAAGATCGAAAGCTATATTGGGTGTCACTACCAATCTCCTTGGCCCTCTCAACGAGGCCAGTGACGATGGCATCCTGAATGCAACCCCTAGCATCACACCGGGTGCAGAGATCTCACCTTCCCCATCCGAAGGTCTGACGATCTTGCACGAAAAAGGAGCTTCCACAACTGCGGCTACGGAAGCACCCTCAGCGGTCAAGAAGCTACTGGAAAGATGGCTAACAAGCACTCTAAGTGGCTTGGTTGAGAGGTCACCACAAAGTAACATCGGGTGTACATCAACGGTAGGTACCACTGCTGCCGTGGGTGAACCGGAAGTTGCACTAGCGAATAACAAACCCATCGAGACACAGACCAACGATGGCACGCTAACAGCCATCCTAAAGAAGATGGAAGAAATGGAAAATGAAAACAAGGCGCTCCGCGGTCAGATGAAGGAACATCAGGAGAGGGTCGACAAGATCCCCGGTGCTCCCAAGTTGCTAGCAAAACGCGACGTGGGAAGGTTCGTTGAACAACCATACACTGAAGAAGCTGCCCCTCACTCCACCCCAAAAACCTTCAAGATGCCACCCTACTTGAGGGTATATGACGGAACCACAGATCCCGAGGATCATCTGATCCACTACGTCACCGCTGTGAAGGGCAACGACCTATCGAAAGAACAGGTACCGTCGGTACTGCTGAAGAAGTTTGGCGAGACGTTGACAGGAGGGGCCTTAACATGGTACTCTCAGCTACCGGCTAAGGCAATATCAACGTTCGAGGAAATGGCGGATAAGTTCGTCACAGCCCATGCAGGCGCGAAGAAAGCGGAGGCCAGGGTCAACGACATCTTCGCCTTCAGGCAAACCACAGGAGAGGGACTCAGGGACTTCCTGGCAAGGTTTAACAGGGTAAGGATGAGTCTACCAAACGTATCGGAAGGCATGGCAGTCGCCGCTTTCCAGAACGGGCTAAGCAAGGATGGTTCGAGGGCAACCAAGAAGCTGTTGAGCCGCCTCATGAAATATCCCCCTACCACATGGGAGGAAATCCACAACGCCTATTGCGCCGAGGTACGAGCGGACGAGGACGATCTTAATGGGCCGACCCAACGGCTAACAGCGATACACTCAGAAACGAGGAGAGATCGACGGAACGAAGGACGACGAGAACAACTTCCCCGCTCCAACAAAGATCGACATCAGCCATACACCTCCTCCCATCTGCCACCAAGGCATACAGACGCGCTACAGCGACACGTCGCCCCACTCCGAAACGAAAGAGGTACGCCCCATTTATTAACCGCCCATAACTTTTGTGTATCTCCCTCAGAAATAGTGTATGCACTGGAGAAGCTGGGCACCAAGGTGCAGTGGCCGCAGAAGATGAAATCAGACCCTGCCACAAGGAAATCAAACGCCCTATGTGAGTTCCATCAGGAACGGGGACACAAAACCGAAGACTGCATAGGCCTACGACAAGAGGTGGTCAGGATGCTGAACCAGGGATACCTGAGGGAGTTACTCAGTGACAAAGGGAAAAT